AATTTGCAGTGCGTAAATTTTGTACGTTAGAAAATAATGTGTCATTTCTGAAATTTCACATGAACTGCATTATGTATTTGAGATTAAAAAGGATTCGTGTGTATATATATATATATATTTCCCTTTTTAAAATTTATCTCTTCCAAATTATATAATTAGTTATTGTGTACAATAACATTAAATGTTCGGTTTTCGTACGGTGTGTTTAGGATGATGTAGATTCAACTTCGTATTTTTCTTTTCTTGATTCAATTTTGTTTCATGTTCCTACTAAATAGTTTTTACTTGTTACTATTTTTGTCATTGATGCATATTGAAATTCAATTTCAGAATGTGCAAAAAATTGCACATTCAGTAGTACAAAAAAAATTTAAATTTTAGAAGCTTAAAAAGTAAAAATATTTATTTTGTGTCAAGGCCCCCCCCCCAAAAAAAGTATATATAAACAATTTGAAGCATGAAAAAATAATAATGAAAATTCTGAAACCATAAGAGCTGGAAAAATATTTTTAATAAAATTATAACATAAAATCATAAGCAAAAAAGCATAAAACTGTAATAATAATTAGTTTCAGTTTAATTAGACTACTTCCAAAAAATAAAATGTGTAAAACAGAAGCAATAATAAAGATGAAAATTTGATCTAAAATATAATGTAAAATTAAATAAAAAATTAAAAGGACAGTTCTTAAAATCTGTAACATTTAAACAAAAAATAAATAAATAAAAATAAAATTTAAAAAATATATATATTCAACATGCTCAGAAGCAAAATGCTGTTGTAATGATATTGGTATTGAAATTCAATTTCAGAATCTGTTTAAAAATTCACTGAGGTTGAAAGCAAATCTCATAACAATTATGCAGAATGAAATTAAATAAATGCTCTTGAAATGATATTAGATAAACTACAAATTTTTAAACTGATTAATAAAAATAAAAATAGTAAAAGAAAACTTCTATTGTAACATTAAATATGGTGCATTAAAAATAAACACTTTGTAAAAGGAAAAAACATCAAATTAACTGGATTATAAATCCTAAGAGGACTCATAGTTAATCAGTTAATTAAAGTAATCTCCCTCAGAAGAAGGTGGTTGGAATCTACTGTGAGCAGAATTCCTACTAGTATTTTAATAAAAATGTATTTCCTGTTTTAGTCTCAAGTTTTGAAGTTTTATATGAATCCAATTGACATTGAAGCTTTGGTTTGTGAACTTGATTCATTCCACAAGATACTTCATCATTCAGAATATTCATACCCAAAAGCATTGTTTCCATCGAAATTAGTGTGGTAAATCTTGAAGCTTAGAGATGTATCACTTTGTAACTCTTAGAAAAAGTATCACTTTTTAACTCTTTAAAAAATGAATCAGTATTCTCATTTGCGTTAGTAAAATGGTTCATTAACCATATGAGGGTATTCTTCCTCTGATAAATAGTGCCTTCCCGCCATAATAGACTGGAGCTGAGGGTTTTCTAAATAAAAAAAGAAGGAACGGAAATATATCTGAAGGCAATGCAAAACGTAAAAAAACTCCACACAGTAACCCTATAAGACCGTACATAGTAGAGGAAAAAATAGAATAAAAAAAGGCATTGGATATAAATCAGATACGAGAATGTTTTCATTAGCACACAGCAATTTAAAGAGCCCACCTCTGTTTCGCTTTCCCTCCACGCTCCCCCACCCACCCTCGAACAGCTGATGAGTAAATTTACCAAAGCAAGCAGAATATATCAAACTCAAGGTCAGGAACCTAAAACTATGTTCATTTCAAAAGTAATGGACACAGGATGCCATCTAGTGGCCTCCAGAAAAACGTTCCACCTTAAAATGCGTATTCGCATCACCCGTCCTCTGAATGCAATCTTTACTGATGCGTGGATGGGACGCCCGGCTGTAAGAGACGTTCTTAGGGAATGCATATATGGGACACCCGTCCTGAAAGAGTTAAATGTTCCTAAGACAAAAAATGACATTAGCATTGCAAATAATGAACCTTTTCACCTTACCCCGTTTTGCATAAATTTCACAGATCAAATAGCTGGGAAAATTTCCTCTTCTATCTCTTTTTCTGAAGGTTTTTCATCCACTGAATTTTGAAGTATCAATATGTAATACAAATGGCAGTTCAAAAATGAAGTAACCTTGTTCCATTCCAGATCATAACTCTCTTATACCAAATTCTACATGTAAAGCAGTGTTCCTACATCAGTCTTCATTCAAATCTTGTTTAAAAATATTTATTCATACACTGTGTACAAGTTTATAATAAAATAAATTCACATGTATGATATCTATAAATCAAATGTCTTAGTATACCATTCCTGTTTAGTGTCTAGAATCTATCTAATCTTCCTTTTTTTAGGTGGGGTGCTACGATTGATGTATGATATCACATTTCTTATACATTTTTTTCCAGCTTACTTGTTCTTATCTCAAGACATTGTTTCTCATCCAAGCAATTTTCCATCTTGAAAATTTGTTCATAAACCAGAGTTCCACAGTATATTGATATGTAAGGTTTAAATAATTGTTTAGCATTAAGAAACAATTTTGCATTTATATTCAGCAAAATAGCAAAAAGGAATTTATTACCATTTCTATGTATTTTTCATGTCATCCATTTCTCAGGTTTCCAGTAAAATCTTTTACTTTGAATCACTTAATAATATTATAATTACAGCCTGAATATGTCATTCAGTGTAAAGTGTAAACTTTAAATTACAGTCAAAAGTTGTTAATTTGGACACCCATAATCCAGACCTGAAAGCTACAAACTTTCTGCGCATGCGTCGCACAGGCGTTTACGAGTGCACTTAAGACCTTTGCGGCTGCGAATAAGTTTGTGCGCATGCGCGTTTAATGTGTAACAGACGGTATAAGCTAAGCTAAAATTATCTAATTCAGTTAATGTTGCAGATTGCATTGTTCCTTAACCTTTGAATTGGATCCGGCTTATTATTTTTTGCAGACTGTTAGATCAATTTCATAAAAGTAAGTTTGAATTTTCGATTATGTCAAATAGAATGTCCGATATATATTTACTAATATGTAATTTGTATCTACAAAGCGAAAGTATGTTTCGAAATTCGAAATCTGTTTATCAATTTCACGCTGCGGATTGGAAGTTGATCTGTCAGCACTATCCTTATCTTCAGGGCAGATGTTTTTATTTTATTTGGCTTATAATTCCTTACTAAGTGTAGTATTTCATCTCGATGTACTTCATCTTTGATAGGATTTAAATCAAGTTCCTCGTCATTATAATTCACTTCTGATAGTGAAGAAAGTGACCCAGAGGTTATTGAAAACGAAAACATTTCGATTGACAAATTAGTCGGTATTCTCAACACAGCAATTATAGGACTTGAACAGCGGAACTTTGTAACTAAACAAGAAATTATGTCTCTTTAATAGAATTAAAAAGAAAGTATTATCACATGAAACGAAGCAACTTACATTGAAAGAAATGTTTAATAAAGTAAACAAATAAATATTAAGCTTTTTCTTTTTGTAAATTTTGATACCCTTTAGATCATAAATGTTCTTTATTCCATAAATTATGGTTTCATATTTTTAATTTTGTAATTTCTGCATGCCATCTTACCAGATTTAAACTGATGAACTATAATCCGGAAAAATTGATAATCTGGAATCGCCGAAGTCCTGACGAGTCCGGATTAACGACTTTTGACTGTACAAACTGTCATGTTAAAAAAATAAAGAATCTGTTCCATGATATCATGTGTAATCATTTTTAAAAAGACTTTGCATGTATCTCATAATGTACATTTTAATTGTTTTTTTACTCCTAAATACATCGTCTGTCAGAAGATTCAGGAACTTTTTCTGACCTAATGTTTTCTATCTAAAGCAAATTGAAAGTAGTTAACTTGAAACCTACTGAATTCTACCATCGAATAAAAGTAAGCACATATTTGAAATTTGTCTTTTTTGCATTAGTGTTGGTGATATTGTCACAGTTTTGGAATGTGACACAAAAGGCATGATGAGGTTTTGTTAAATGTAGAAAACTTATAATTTAATATCTAAAATGATAAAAATAATTGCCTAGCTTATATTAAGATGTTCCTGTAATAGTTTTAGAAAGGTTGGCATTATTGAGAGAAAGAGAGAAAGTAGAAGTATCAAGAGAATAGAAAGGCATTATCGAGAGATGCTGAATGATATGATTTAAAATTCATTTGGATCCAAAATTCAGTAGTTGATCACTTGACTTAGTCAATCTGTGCGATCGATTTTAAACTTGTTTTGATAGTTTTTTTAGGATCCACTGCATAGCTGTGATCTTGAAACTTTTTTTTGTCCTTTTATCAATTCTGCTATTATTTTAATCAATAAAATAAATAAATAAATAAGCAATCATAAAAGTTGTTTAATCGTGTATAAATATAAGACATTACAATAAATAAAATAGATTTTGTAGTGCTAACCTGACATCATTAACAGACAAAATATTGATGGCCCTTGAGATAAACATTAATAAGTAATTGTAAATTTAAAAATTTCTCTTGTAACTTCTCATTTTTGTCTGTTTTCATACTTCATTAGGATCTATTTAAAATTGCTAATATGTCATGTTGATTTAAAAAATGTAAATTAAGTAGTAATAAATAAAAATAGCATGCAGAAAAAATTGCCATTTCTCCTTTGACTTTTTATACAGTTTAATGTAGTTTTGTGTTTCTTACATATGGTTTCTGTTGTCAATAATCAAATGCATAGAATTTCAGTGTATGTGGCAGTTGATCATTTTATAAAGTTATGCTTTCTTGATATACTTTTTAATAACAATTTCTTGTAAATAGTTGAATGATTTTTTGCCACCATCAGTGACTCATCGAACAAGCACAAGAGATCAGTATCAATCTTACTCTGCAGCACAAGTTCATAAATTGTAATAATATTATAGGGTATTGTATAAATATTTTCATTTGCTTAGAAATTCATGCTGTATTCTTTGTTATAATAGATATCCATGATCTATGGAAAAGTGTGCATGAGATGTTTTATCCGTGGTTGCATCCAACTATAAAAGAAGATAATATATCTTTTCCATGGTCTGATGAGGAAAGTAGTCAAGCAGAATATATGTTTCGCATGTTTGCAATGTGCATTCGATATTTCCAGGAAAAACTGGTTGGTATGTATAAAATCAGCATATGTTTCAGTGTATTTTAGTATTTAAGGAAAAAATTATTTAAAAATGTTTTGTCTTGAAGTTTTCAATTTTGATGTCTATGTAATGTATCATTAAATAACAAAAATCAGTTACCTTTAACGTATAACTGAATTTGTGTAAAATGGTTCAGACTAAAGTACTACTGAATTTCTACTTTTTAAAAACTGTAGAATCATTTCCATCTAATGTATGCATGAGGTATCTGACTCTAGTTATTCAAGTGGGAGTTTTACATGCATTCATCAGAACTGACACATGAAGTTTATGAATAAAACCAAGATTTGCATAATTCCTGTTTAAAATTACAAGTATCTGTTAAACCTAATAAAATTTCACATCTTTGAGAATTATTGTCTTGAACTTATAGCAGTATTAGAAGTTTGAACAAATCTTTAAAAATAAACAGTACACTGCAATCTAATGCAGGATCTCTGAATGATTGCTTGATACTATTAGAAGTTTGAACAAACCTTTGAAAATAAACAGTACAATGCAATCTAATGCAGGATCTCTGAATGATTGCTTGATATGTTAATTGTTAGACTGCAAGAACACTTAAGAGAAATGTCTAAATTCCTGGCAAACTGTTTTCCATGTCTGTGGCTGGTTATATTCATAGCTTTCATAATTTACAATATATTTCAGGTATGTTATCCTACCTGTCTTGTCCAGCTGAGATAATTCACATTTAATGCATATTACACTTCATATTTTTGGCTAATTTTGGTTTTCACCTGCTGGCTCAACTACCATTTTTCAACTTGCACCCTATCAAATACAAATGTCATTACATGCAGAAAATTATGCTGGACAGTGAAAGACTGGCAATAAATATTTCAAACAACCACTGTATAGAAATGGGCATCTGCAGATTTTATAATTTTATCAAGAGATGTTATGCTTCAGCAAATACCACTTTCTTCTCAATTGGCTCTAATTTTGAACATCATGTATATGATCAAGAGTGTCCAGATATTTTTAGAATAAAATTATGCTGTGCATACATGAATGTGTGGTAAAAATTACTGTGAAGTAGAACCCTTTTGGACAGTGGCTACTCTCTTAAGAATTCTACCAACTATATTTTGGTATATTTGGAATACTTATTGGAATATGTCTCCATTTTTGCAGAAAAATAGTAGTCAGTTCTTTAACTAATTTTGAGTAATGTTAGCTGGCTCGTCAACAGGGTTGCCAATTATTTGTTTTCGGAAAGGACAGTCCTTTAATTGTCTCATATACTGTGTGGGATTCATGTCTGGTGAACATGTAGAAGGCAATCCACTCATATGTTTCTGTCATCAAACTGGAAATTGTCCATGAATTAAGCACAGTATAGTCTGCAGTTATTGTCCACGAAATAGTTTTTTTATTTGATTGCTGCATTATAAGAGAAAAAGAAAGTGTCTAAAAATCATATTCCTTTGCTACTTAGCAGGCAATGTTTCATTTCTGATGATGATACCAATGTGATCATTGATAAAGATATTAGCTCATCATTCAGCTTTCTCAAAAATAAGCCACTTTCTTGTCTAAATAATAAACTTTTATGAGTCATTTGTTTCTTTTAAACTATCAGGATGCACAGTGAAATATGTCTTGTCTTAGAAAACTTTGTTGTATACATTTTTTCTTCAATTCACATGCACTTGTACTTAACCTGTTTTGAGCAGTATGATGGTGTTCTGTTGTGAAGTGCACATGTAAGTTTGTAAGGTAAACACTGTGAAGCCAGTTTCAAGCAGTTTGGGTTGAAATACTTGAACTACGAATCTAAGAAGTTTATGCTGCAGATAAGTGATATAATGCACTCTTAAGTTCCACTCATGCATCACACACCTTAGTCTGCAATACAAACTATAATGTAGCTGTTTGAGATAAAAAATTGGTATTTGCTAATTTGCATTCTAATCATTTCCCCCTTTCATATAAACAATTTATGTTGTTTTTCAAATCAAAATTATGGTATCCTGTAATTCTTATGAGCAGTTTATATTGAACATTAAAGTTGCCTTTAGACAATTAAAGTTCTAATTTTAATTGAAAATATATGTAATATTGATTTTCTTACTTCTAGGTGTCTTGAACTTTATGGAAAACATAGATATGTATCATTGATTTTAAGTAATGTAATAATTGTTTCAGATGTAATACTTTTAAAAATTATTAATGAACTTACTCTCATATGTTTAAGTGCTTTAAATGTTTAAAACTTAAAGCTCTAGAAAGTCTTGTTGCTTTTAAGCTCATTAAGATTTTTAAATTAAGTTTTGTATTACACCATTATTTATTGTGAATTTTGACATATTCTGATATGCATATATCTAATATTATTTACATTGCTCAGTTAATAAATTTTGATATAAATATTATGAAATAAATTTAAGAAATTTTTTTTAATATTTTGATTACAGAACAGAACTGTGAAAGGTGTTTGTTGTCTTACATATGGGAATTTTACATTGAAGCCTATGTGTCACATGGTTTACGACACTATTTAGTTTCAGTGTGCCACACTGAATTTCTTGACTTACCTTGGCATCAGTTTCACCCTAACTCTGAGGATATTGAGGGAATGTGTAAAGTGAGTGAACTTTTTAAAACATGTACATATTAAAATCATTATAATTACGTTTAAAAACCTTGTTAACCCAAATTTCCGGTCTGTCTCTTTTACCTGTGTTAGTGGTTGTTTATTCATAGTTTATGCTTTAAGGTAGGTCATTGCCAGGTTTTTGGTTAAAACACTTTTGCATGCTAGAAAAGAAGAAGGGTAAAAGGAAAAAAAAAAAAAGATATCAATCTGGTAATTTAGAAATGCAGTCACGTACGTACCAAAAGCTTGCCGACCTGAAATCCATGCAACCTCTGAATGTAAACATTGAGTTTATTGGTTCAGGAAACTGCAGTATGGAGACCAGAATACTGGGGAAAAAAGGTACGTATTTACCGAATAATGACATTATAATTGATGTGCTTATAAAATCATTGACAATATGATAAAATGTTTTTCTCCCCGCCAATCTGCATAGAGGTTATGAAGCAGATGACTTCACTCAAATTCTCTTTCAAGTTCATGATTTATGTGGTTGTATTTCCTTAGCTTTGTTATTTCACAAGACTGTTGAGGGCTACTATTTTGTTAATTTATCGAGATCATTTATAGATAAAATTAAAAATATTTTTAATTCCAGTGCTTGTTGATATAATGGCAAGTAAGAAATCTGTTCATGCTTACAGCATTGAAAAACGTAAACATGTTGTACTGAAGGTATGCAAAAAGTAGACATTTTGCAAAAGATGGAGGAAGGGGCTACTTCTAGGTTTATAGCAGAATTGTACAGAACTGTGATACGGATTGTATATAATATACGGGGAAAAAAGAAAAGCTGTTGAAATTTTATGGCAACAGTGATTCTAACACCCAAATCCGAAACCAGAAATCTTTGCATGAGATAAAATTGCCAAAATGCTGTCTTGTATGAGTGATTCTGGCAGTGACAGTGTGATGGGGTACCAATTTTAATACCACTCCTGAGAGAAAAGGGAAAACAGATTGACACTGATTCAAAGAGGAGACATGTAGTTTCAATCGGGGTTGGCCAAACAGATTTAAACAAAGACACAGGATACATTATTTGAAAACCTGTGGGAAAAACTTTTAGCAGTTAAAGATGCTGCAGAATTTATTGGTGAATTTTCTGTGCTTGTGTCAGAAGAAATCTTAGCCCAGAACAGATTTTTATATGGATGATGCTTTACTTTTTTGGTGATGTTTGCCAAGAAAGACATTTGTGACAAGCAAATAAGTGGTGCCATCAGGGGTGAAAAGAGCTAAAAAAAATATCTGCTATTTTAATATGTAGCAACAGCTGAAACTTACAAATGTAAACCAATGGTTGTGGGTAAGAACACCAATTCCAGAGCTCTGAAAGGAGTAAACTTCTTACCCATGACTTGCAGGAATAATACAGATTCTTGGTTCACAAAACAGCTTATGATCGAATAGTTAATGGAACATGTTGGTTATAGAAGCTGGAAGGCATTGTAACAGTGTGGGGTTACTGTCAAATTGCAAGATTTTATTATTGTTAGATAACTGCTCTGCACATTCAGATTCAACCATTTTAATGTGCGATCATATCATGGCCCTTTTTTAGCCCCAAATACTACATCATTGATCCAACTCATGACCACAACCTAAACCTAATACACAGTATTAAATACAACTACAAATCAGAGTTCTGAAAAAAATTCTTTCAAAAGACCATTCTATTTCACTTAGTGATTATTTTAAAAACATTTCACCAGCAAAGACTGCATTTATTTGTTAGCAGAATCGTGGAGTTCTGCTTACCAAAGAACATTAGTGAATGCTAATGTAGTGTATGACCATCATCTCTGCTTTTTGAAACTGAGCATGTTGACAGTGAATGTTTTGGTATTAGGGCCAATGCAGCAAAAGTTAAAGCAAGAGAATTGCTTCTATATATTGAAAGAAGGAACAAACGAGGAGAATTTGCATGAAGATGTTAAATTGATAATGTGTCTTGATGAGCCAACACTGGCATGTCAAATGATTGATGGTGAAATTATTGGCTATGATTTGAACTTTCCATAGCAAGAAATGATTCTAACACTGACACAGGTAGTGAATTTGATAAGGGTGAGAAAATATCTTTTAATGAAGGTTTTGAAAATATGGAAAAATACCTAAAATTTTAAAACAACCAAGCTGTGTCACAGAGCAAGAGATTGTGATAACTCATTATAATTTATTAAAAAAAGCTTACTCTGGAGCATCCTGAAGTTTTAAAGCAAACCTCAGTCTGAAAAATGTTTGAAACATGTAAAAAAAATTGAAATATTTCATTTGTTATTAATTGTTTTTATTATATATGTCCTTAATATTCCTATTTATTTTGCACTTTTAGTCTAAATATTATTACTTGTCTTTTCTGTCCTGAAATCTGCAAAATCCTAAAATCCACACAATCTCTGGTTCCAAGCATTGCAGATTTCTGATTTTCTGTTGTACTGTCATTTATTATTCTAGTGCCTATATTAAATACTTTCTTGTACTGCTTTTTATTTCCAATTAAAATGAAAATGGTAATAGTGTCAGTTAAAAATTATAAAATTACTGATGTAGAAAAGTTGCTCAAAGTATACATTGCAAAATAAAATAGATAAATGACAGTTTTAGATACATACGAAGATTGAGAACTCTGATGCACTCCCATTCATATTATATGCTTATTATATATTATATTCATATTGTATATAGAAATCTATTGAATCTTCATTTAGCTTACTTCATTTAGCACAATTTAGGATTGATCTATTGAATCTTCATTCCTTTATATGAATATGTACACAGAATGTGCAACAATTTTAATCAAATATTAATCTCACTTTTCAGGTTCTTAAGAGTGACATAAAAGAGAGTAAAGAATTTCTGGCAAAGATAAGTATGAAAATACCTTGGATACGAGTTATGGAAAGCATTTCAGTAACTAAACCTCCAGATTATATAGGAAGAACACTTGGAACTCTGGGAAAACTGTTAATTATATCAGGACGTGATGAAACTCTTAATAAAGTAATAATTTTTATTTGTCAATGTATAAATTGCAATTAATAGTTTTGTGCTCAATAGTGATACTTACGTAGAAATAATTTTTTTTTTTTTTTTTTTTTTTTTTTTTTTAAAGTTTTTAGTGGTTTGCTGTTAATTAAGACTAACTTGGATTTCAAAGAGAGTTTTTTCTGCAAACTGTGTGTAGCTGTAGAATTTCAGCTGTTTAGCTAAAAAGGGCTTGCAGGTCCACTTATCTTCAAGAGAGGAATCTTGTACTGTACCAGTGGTTCTCAAACTTTTTTGCCTCATGCACCCCTTTTACCATTGCTAGAAGATCATTCAACCTCTCCAAAACTAAAAAAATGCATGTGCAATTATTCATATTTAGATTATTTTTAATGTATTTTGTAAATTAAGCTATATATAGAGAGAGAGAAAATGCTAAAACTTGAATAAAAGCAGTTTTTGTTTTCAAATGAATTAAATAAAAATACAAAACTAAATATTTAATAGCTAAATAAAAATCTATATATTTAACAGCATACAAAACTAAATAATATGCTATGTTTAACAGCATACAAAACTAAATATTTAATAGCTAAATTAAAAAAACCGACCACTCCTCTCTCCCTTACTTGAGAACCTCTGTACTATACAGTGACGTCACAGATTCATGGCAAGTTACTTTTGGAGCATAAAGTTGATATTTTAGTTTGAATTAAAGATTGGTGTTAGAAGAAAATACTCCCTCCCCCCCCCCAGTTGGATAGAAATGTGACTGTGGCACAAAGATGGGTCATGTCATAGTAGCCTGGCTTCCATTTCTTTAATTTTTAATTGTTAATACCCTCATTGGGCATAAAGTTGTATATTGGCTTGAATTAGAAACGGGAAGACAGTACTCCTTTTCTTACCTCACTTTATATAAATGTATCTCATGCACAATTTAGGTAAGACATAAGTCATAATTGCCTGGTTTTCAGTGTACTGTAATTATGAAGTGACAATAGTTTCATATACCCTCTCATTTTAGATGAAACAGCAATGAACAAAGTGCATCATCCCCAGTGTTTGTTCTAATTGAAATTAGTGTTAGTACATGATATTGGGAGGTGGGAAACCTACTAGTTCTCCAACAGCTTTCATTTTAGTTTCATTTAGTTCCTTTATATCTGTTTTGTAAATTTTAGCTGTTATAATTTGATCATATACTTTTATTTATTTTATTACTGTGTATATTTCATTGAAAGATTTCTATCTGATTGAAAAGAATTCTGTTAGAGAAAGTTATGCTTGAAGAGTAAAAATTGTTTGCCACATTGGGAAATTTTGCCATGAAGCATTCTATTGCTTTTTACTGTAATGCCAGATACACCTCACTTTGGAAACTTATTAAAAGGTCCCAGTAAGTGTGTTGCCGAACATTGACTGCCCATGTCTGGAATTTCACTCCTCTTTGTATTAGACTAAAAATCACTTTTTTTTTTTTTTTTCGGTAAAGTAAAAAGCTTCCCCCCCCCTGATTCGTACATTTCATTTGTAATTTCTTGAAATGTAAATTTGCAAATGCCAGTTATGTATTTCATGGAAATCATTGTACTTGGTTGCAGTACCTTGGGAATATTTTAATACTGTTTTTGTAGTTATCAAACTTTACATTACGAAAATTAAAGGATCAGTCAGTTTTTACAGCATTATGTTTCCTTAATCTTTAAAATATAATTAAAAATCTACTTAAATATGAATCTGTAAAGACATCAGAAGACTTCTTATGCAAAACAACATCATTGTTATCCAAATATGTAAAATTGTCAGAGTTCAAGAATATGACATGGATTAGTAGTTCTGTGTTATGCTGCAAACATATCACAATATTAGGTTTAATGGTGGTGTTCTTTTGCAGAAATAAGGCTCAGGCAATGTTTCAGCATAATAATTTACAAGAATCTATGATTTAGCAGGAATTTGTCTCTTGGAAGCATGTGATTCACAAAGATAATTATCAGTTTTATTAATGCCTGAATGTGTTCATGAACACATTCAAAACCTGGTTTGGAAGAGCAGGAAAAGACTTAACATCCTTTATCTATATATCTGGTACCGAGTGGGAGGCAGATTCATCTACTGTCAAATCTACATATATGCCACTGATTGGCAGATTCATCTATTGTCAAGTTTACATATGTCACTGACAAGACCCATTTTGGATTCTGGCTTGGAGATTTACTTCTGTGCTTCTTCTACCAATTTCGCTAAACTTGAGCTTGTTGAGTGCAGCCCATCTAATTGCTGGCTTACACAACAGCTGCCCAGCTGAATAGCACTCTTTAAATGTGATATACAACTGTTGTATTTGAGACACAAATCTAAACTGTCAAAATACTCTAATAAACTACACAGTTATGCTACTCATAACCATACCTCTATACTTCTTCACGATTGGGTTTCTAATCAAAAATTGAAAAGAAACTGCCATTTTTCTTTGGCCTATCTCATGATTTTATTAGATCTACTGTTTATTAGATACAACTGTTGAGAGATACTCTCTGAAACTTACTATCAATCCATTGGAGGGACTTCTTGGCATCTATTTTCACACAACCTAACTACTTTTGCCACAAAAAGATAGATTTACCAGATTATCTTCAGCAGGTTGCACTGGAAACTTTAAATGCCATTCCCTCTAATGCCCTTCAGATTTTCACTGACGGCAGTAAAAATGAATGTGGAATTAGTGGAGTCTTAATCAGAACGCATATTAATAGCTTTAATTTTAAGACTAGAAACCCTGATCACTGCTGTGTTTTTCAGTCTGAGTTTATAGCAGTTGACGAAAGCCTTAAGGCTGCATACACTTGCACTGCTTACAGAGATATCTGGATTTTGACTGACAGTAACACTTCTCTCCAGCATCTGCAAAATTGGCCTTGAATTGGTGATAAGACTTCACTCTGTATTTTGGCTTTACTGAAAAAACTGTCTTCTCATCACAATGTACATCTGCAATGGATCCCTTCACATATTGGTCTCAGTGGCAATGAAATGACTAATGTTGTGGCTAAGGGAGTTACATCAATGACTCTGACCACTGGCATGTGACGTTTTTGGAGATCTGTTTGAAAGTTAAATCTACTGTTGCCTCTTTCTGGCATTCTCCTCCAGGTCAAGATTGGTCCTTTGGCAGGCAGCCGGGAGGTGCTGTTGCGTTTTGGGGGTAATATTGCTCAGCAGACTGCTTTGTCAAGGCTCCTAAGTGGACACCTGAAATGCCTTAAATTTGACCAGGGAAATAAGATTTACTCCATCTGTAGGAAATGTAGTACTAATCGTTTCACTCCTGGACATCTTCTTACCTGTTTGGGACTTGTAAACGAGGACCTGTTGAAAAGATCTACCTTCATATTGGAAATATTTTCAACTCTTGGACTCATGGATCTGGTCTAGCCTAGTGGCTAACCAGTTAGGGTCAGCAGCAACAACAACAGTTTTCTTTGCTGTTTCTCAGCTTATGAAGTGATTCAAAACTACTGGAAGTGTGCACAGGCGATCAGATCAAGATTGCCCTTGTCCAACAGCAGAAACTGACAACTATTTTCTGTCCTTAAAAGTGCATAGAGACAGAACTGGAGGGAGCTTTGGCAGGCTGTATAAGATAAAAATGTGTCATTAAAATTGTACAGAATAGCCTTTATCTGTAAGATTTGTATGCATTTGTTCATATTTCCCTTAACTATTAGTTGCTATAAGGATGCAAAGGAACTGGGAATATGAATATCACAGCTGAAGTACTCTCCTCTCTGTGTTTCTTTTTTCCTGAGCACCACTGTTTCCCTCTGTGTTTTGTTTCTGAATTTAATCCAGCATGCATGAAACACTCTAGAACAACATATTGCTGTTTGGCCAAAGCTTCCAGTAGCATTTGGAGAACTAATTTGCCGGATCACCTTGAAAATTTCATTTCTGCAGATGTTCAATTATTTTAGCAGTTTGAAGAGACCACCTGCCTTTATTATCACATAAAATTCTTAGAAAAACAAGCAAATTAAGTTTTTTATGGAAGGATTTGAAAAGATTGGAGGATTTGGAGAACTAATTTGCGGGATCACCTTGAAAATTTCATTTCTGCAGATGTTCAATTATTTTAGCAGTTTGAAGAGACCACCTGCCCTTATTATCACATGAAATTCTTAGAAAAACAAGCAAATTAAGTTTTTTTATTGAAGGATTTGAAAACTCGGGCAAATTCTTGAGCCAGTTATCTTTTATCTGAAGTTGGATAAAATAATTTATAAGCCAGATTTCATAGGTTTATCTAGAAATTCACTGACATTTTTTTTCAAGAAGATGATTGCAGCATATGTGTATTTTTCAGAAATGTAGTTGATGTTTTAAAATTTTTGAGCAGTGTAAATTAGATACACATTAATCAGCATATTCTTTTCAAAGATTATGATGCAATGAAAGAATCCTCAAATTAGTATTTAAAAAATAACATATAATCCTAAAATCTTTAAGTCCATCTTTCAGTTTTAATTCTGTGTCTGCTGGGTGCAGCAACAGCACAAGGGCTGAACCTCTTACAGATATGTTGAGGACGTTTTCAATTGTCAACTTTCCCTTGAGAAGATGATGAGTCTCTAGGAACAAGCTGACTAACGTGCATGGTTGGCAGAAAGGTAATACACTCTTCCATCATGAAAGTACTTCATAATAAAGTATACAAAACTGCTCAAGGATGAGTCTTAGCATGCAGCGGTAGTCATACTCAACTGCCGACATGTCTGCTTTGGAGTCATAGCAGCAGTCAAAACCTTCGACCCTTCCACAGTCATGCCCATGAAAGACTTTAATGCCTAGGAGGTTTGCTAAACAGTAAATATAACTGTTTGTGTTTGGAATTTTACTTCTCTTTGTATTATACTAAAAACCACTTTTTACAAAGTAGCAAGCTTCTCTCTCCCTCAGCCCCGTCTTTTTATATTCATTCATTTTATTTGTTGTCTAAAGCACTAGTAAAATAATGTGGTATCATTTCAGCCATTTATTCATTTATCATGAAAGTTATTTTATTTAATTTTTTATCTGATTTTTATATGTCATATTTTTTATTTCATGTTTCTGCGTCGCTTTTTAACTATAAAAATTTATAGTTTGTATACTTTTAAACTTTTATGCATCATATATTTATTTTATTAAGATGATTTTCTTTTCAGAAAAATTTTCACCAAAATAATATGAAATCATTAGAATGCTTACCATGGCATTATATGTCACTAGATGATACTGAAGCTCTCCTGAACTTATATTATTCATCCAATGATCAGAATTTGCTGTCTGTGCAAACCCCAAATGTGTTTGATTGTGATCTTCAGTAAGTATAAATCAAAAAGAGAATTTGCTCTTGCTACTTATATCTTATACAGTTTATTTGCTTTTAGAATGCATTTGCGGCTCTTTATTTTTTGGCGTTTTACTTATTGAATGTCTATTTAGTAAATCCATCCTATTAAAATATTATTTAATGCAGATCACAGTTGCTAGACTAAATTTTCTTACAAACAGAGGAGTCCCCTCCTCTCTTTGTAAGAAAAGTTAGGCTAACAACTGTGATCTGCATTAAAGAGCACTTGGTTTTTGGTCTCATTAAACTAGTGTATCAGTTAAAATTTGATTTATGCAGTTTTACCTAAAAATCCTGTTTAAAAGAAAATTTGGTACTTCCTTTTCGTAACAATACTTCCATGTGAATTCCTCTAAGTGCATTACTAGTTAATGACAAGCATCCATCTGTATTTCTATTCCCCATAATCATCCTGCATCCCAGGCCTGGATGGCTGTCTGCCAATCTGCAAAGTTGTACTAAAAGTGGTAGAATCCATCTTGGGGGAAAGAGGCAGTTTTAGTTTTATAATCTTTTTAACATTCCATGTGGATTGCTTATCTATCATTTGTATGCTGTGGAATATTTTCAATGGGGATTTGTGTGTTTTTGTTCAGCACTTGTTATCACAGCAGCTGTCACCTAAGATCCACTGTTAGAATTATACCATCATTTCCTGTATCTCATCAAGGCTGCTATAAAAATAAAATAACCCAAAAAATTTTAATTCTGTATACTCTTTGTAAACTAAGCACTTGCCGCTGTAAAACGAATGCTAGAAAATATATTGATTGTTATACCAAAGCTTGATTTATTTGGAGTAATGCCTTCTATCTTATACCATGTTTTTCACTGTTGCAAACATACAGAAAGATCGTTAGCAAGATATTTAAAAATATTAAGAAATGTCCGTGAAAAATTTTCAGTTTTTCTCTCTGTATGGTGAGTTTTTGATTAAAAAAACTCCTTTACACGTTGAACCCAGCGCTGGTCCCTGGGGACCGGCAGTGAACTTTCCGTGTGGTCGGCATCGATCCCTGGGGACCGGCAGTGAACTTTCCGTGTGGTCGGCATCGATCTCTGAGGACTGGCACTGTAATTTTCATTTGGCTGGCTTTGGCCCATGGGACCGATAGTATTACAGTTAAAAAATAAATATACTCTCAATGAAATGTGATAAAATATAGTTATAATTAAATTTATTTGAAACATTTTAAACAAAAATACGGCTTAGCTTTACGCATATTACAATACGTAACAACTTTTTTTGGTAACATTTTTTACTATTTTGTGTCCAAATAGCTTTGAATTGTCATCCTAACATTTTGAACAATTACTTCAGAATTTATGTGCGTCTCCTTCCTTTGCCAAATTTGTGCCAGTTATACCAGCAGAAGTTTAAAGGAACAGATTATTCTTTAATTAAATAATCAACAGATACAAAGTATGGATATAGCATGTAAAAACTTTAAATGCCCATCATAATTTTTCATGTTTTTACTGTTGTATCACCATTATTCATCTCTTTTTAAATAAATGCATATTGTGCCCATTAATTTACATATTTCTTAGTGCCAGGATTCTCTAACTTTGAAACTACTCCATACACAAAAATGGATAAATAAATTTATATCTTCTTTAGAGAATTAAAGTGGCTTATTGAGAACTAAATTGGTTTACATTAAACCTCTCATCTTTATGAAGAAAAGCCAGCACATGCTGCTATTTTTAAGCTCAAATGTTGCAAAGGGCACTGACTATTATGCCACACGGAAGAGATTATTATAGGAGAGATTATTTCTAACTTCTTCCACTGCTTGAAAATGAAACCTGTCTAGCAAATGGAATTTAGGTGTTTGCAAGATGAAAACGTCCTTATAAGCTACGAAAATGCTCTTATTTCTATGACATTGTCTAAGCAAGTGTTTTGACATAAATATTTTTTATTGAAATATAAGGCTGTTATTAATTTTTTTATCATGTACACTTGATGACATACATAACATACAAATGAGACATATTGTGCCATATCAATGTACGATACATAGAATAAAAAATTTTAAATTAATTTAAAGCAGAATTTACATAAAGATTTCCCACATATTTTATTTTTATAAGTTAAAATTATATTTTTATAATATCAGCTGTGTAGCTACTAAAAAAAGCAATATGATTAAATGAACCCGAACACAAATTTTTATTTATAATTTTTAAAAATCCTGAATAATTTTAAGTGAAAATAGTGTGCCTGCAATGCTTGACATAATTTTCTGATGATTGGTTTTCAACCTGAAATTTTAAAGCTAAAAATCTTCTATCAGATTTAGCCCAATACAAATGTATACAAAATGTATAAAATGTTTCTCACAAATTTAATTAAAGAAATTATCTTAACATGAAGTTTGAAGTTCTAGCATTTTAAAATTTATTTGTTACAAATGCTCCGCATAATGCATTGCATATTAGTTAGCAGGCTGGGTTTAGGGGTAAAAGTAGGTGTAGGTAGAACTTGATATCTTAGCCTCTTTGAAAGTGAAAATTTATTTTTAGCAAAAATTCAATCTCTGGCCTTGATTTAAATAAAAAATTTTTTTTTAAATTATTCTAAATTCACATTACATAATAATTTAATTCTCTCAGTATTAACCATCTAGCAGTTGCATGCTGTGAAGTTCACTGAAGGGGACTAGATAAGAATAAAAATTATAGTCCTATCTAAGATGACCATTTTAAAAGAAAATAGAAGTAGAATAATGTAGAAGAAGAGAGAAGTGAAATGGAGTACTAATGTTTATGTATATTGTCAGAAATCACGCTCACTTTCAGAAATAGTGACCTTAGAGAGGTGGTTGTCATATTTATTATATTTCAAATACAAAAATAATGAGTACAATAATGCATAATATGCTCTGGTAAATTTTTGAAATCTGCAAAAAATAATAAGCTGGATCCAATTAGAAGATTAAGGAACAGCACAATCTGCAACATTAACTGAAATGCCTTAGAATCAGTAAAGGTAATTTTAGCCTAGCTTATACCGTCCTTTATACATTAAACATGCACGTGTAAAGTGTACCAAAAGAAAAAAAAAAAAAAAAAAAAAAATGTGGCTCTGAGGCTCGGATTACAGACTTTGTACTGTAATTATAAAGGCTCTTTAAATGGACATAGTTTGGAAAAGTGTGAAAACCACTGGTGTAGATGCTCCTGCATGATTGTTGGAGATATGTAACAGTTACCTTTTATGTTCTGTTAAGTTTTTTTGGTCAGTTTTTTTTTTTTTTTTTTTTTTTTAAATAAAAAAAAAAATTATTTTTTTGTTATGTATTTGATGTAGAATTATACTGTATATATAAAAGTATTTGAGTCAGAAAGTAATTGTATAATTTTATGTATACTTTTTGATTAATGGGGCAACATTTCTAAGTATGCTTCAGAGTTCCATATGTCATAAGTTCTTTATTTTATCCCATTCGCAGCTATGCAATGATGTCATTTAGAGTAAGTGAGGAAAATGAACTTCAAGCCAATAGTTTTCCATCAGAAGAGTTTTTTTAAATAAAGTGCTTTTGCTTCCTTTTTCTTGAGAAAGAATTATTATGAATTACATGATTTAGCAGTTGCCAAATGACAAACAATTATGATTAAAATTTTACAAGATTAAGGTATCCATACTGAAAGTTTAGAAAAATCATGAAATTGTATTTTATTACTTCAGAAACAGTGAAATAGTACTACAACAAGAGATTCTGTTGTGAGAAAGAAATTGTTACTTGTGCATTAGCACTACGACATTAATTTGGAGAAGTCACCAAATTTTCTGCCTGCACCAGTCTCTAACACCCATGAAGTAAACATTATTCAGTTTTTAACAGTCAGCATTGTCATTTTCGTGTTTGTTCTAGTTCTAACGGTGTTCATAAAAACCTTTTTTTTTTTTTTTAACCTTTGTCTTAATTTTTAGATATGTGTTTATTTGATTGTACTGCAGTGAAAGAAACTGAGGTAAAATTCTTCATAAACATAGCACTTTTCTGCAGAATCATTATAGAGAATAATTACTTTATATGTATTCTTAAAGTGAACACCATGAAATTTCCACCTGAACGAAAACAAATAAAACCCACTTCAAATTAGGAAAAATGCAAGCTTATAATGGTGTAGATTTTGAATAAAGCTGTGTAAGTTTGAAGGGCAATCAGATATAGGTCTCTCTTCTTCAGAAGCCTCCCTCCCCCCCCAAAAAAAAAATTCTTTAAACAAATTCTGTAAACTGAGAGAAACAATGATTATATGTATGTCAAAAACAATGGGTAGAGCAAAACAAACATGAATGTAGCACCATCTGCTGAAGAAAATGGTAATGAAACTTGAAAAAGTTAAGGTACTGAAATTCTAAAAGCACTAAGAAGGAATAGATTGGGATTAATGCCATAAATTAAAGAAAAAATTTTATGAATATGAAAAGCTTCAAAGAAATGCAATTCAGTATATGAATAATTTTTGCAAGACGAAAGGGCAGAGTTGTGATTAAGTTTCCAACTATGAATATATGTGAAAGAATAGGTTTATTTCTCTTTTCTGGACATAAGATTTGTGTTCTTTGGGGGTGAAATTTTAACACTTTTAAGTGTAACTGATATATCTCAAACCACATTGACAAGGTATGCTGTAAATTCTCTAAGAATTAAAGTCGGAGATGTGTAATCTTTTAAAAATCAAACAACAAATTTTTCTGATAGGTGAGAAAATATCCTGAATTCTGTAGAATCCATGCAATTTTATAACTAATAGAAGAATGAAATGAAATGACAACAAGAAGAAGAGTTATATTATTTCTGACAGCAGACTGTCTGTTTTGATGGCAGGAGGAAAATATTTTAAAGCTTTACCATGGGGAAATCCTCTGTAAATGGCTGCTGATTTCAAGTAGTTGAGATTGTTGAGAGTAAAGATTCTGAAAAACAAACTTTGGCGGTGAAGTAGACTAAGATTGAAAAGAAGTTTTTTTTTCCTTAACAGGGTGACATGATATAGCTTGGGGGGAGGCAAACAAAGTAATCGTGTTGCATGGAAAGGCTCTTGTTAGTAGGTTTATTAATGGATTTTTTTGGGTTAAATACAAAATAAAAATGGGAAATATGCATGTATATAATATGCAATTATAAGTCATCATCCTTTTTCTTCTGTAAAATCACAAAAATGGTTGCGCTAATGCATACATACCAAAAGATTATACAGTGGATATTGGTTCAAAATATCCATGTGAAGAGTATACATTGGAAGAATTCTGTTGACTCTAACTTGCAGTGTATCACTGTGCGGTTGATGATTAGAATAATTACATGTGTTTTCATTTGTGAATGTCTGTATTTATTTTTATAATATTTATTTAAAATTTAATAAAATAGCCATTCCTTTTGTGAAATTGTGTTTAAATTTAGGGTTGCCATTTTCTTTTTGAGTAAAATTGTGTATTTCCATTATGTTTGGTGCTTAGCTACTCCCCCATCAATTAAAAAGTACAGTTTTATTTTAGCGACATTTGGTAGAGTTGCAGAAAGAGAAAATATCAGTTACTAATAGATATTTTCTTTATAATGTGCATAGATAATAATTCCATGTTATGTGAATGAATAAATTAGTTGAATAAAATTACATTCAGCATTTCTTATATTGTCAACTGAAAAAAACGGGAAAATTCTAAATGAATTTAAACTAATTATGATGTGATGTAATTTGGGTAGGGTATGAAGAAAATGTTTTGAGTCATCTGTTTATAAATAGAGATTTATTGTTATTATTATTATTATTGTTTTACAGGACGATGTGAAATTTCTGCAAATAGTTTTACCTAATGGAGTAATGTTTTACTAATTTGGTATTGGCTTTAAATATGAAATAGTATATGTATTATTTTCAGTTTTTTTCTGTATTTTATGTATCTCTATAAAGTTTTGTGTAATGTGTTTTTCATAGCATAATTTATATTTAAAGCATAAGAAAATTAATAGGAAGAATATCTTTCTTTTCTTTATTTCCTCCCTTTTCTTTTTTTTTTCCTTAAATTTTGTATTTCTAATATCTATTCTGATTTCAGATTCCTGAAACTTGTCTGTTGCATGAGTACTAAAGCTGCCATGTCATATCATTATAACTCCAAGCAACTGCTATTTCTACGTAAATATATTACTGCTTTGAATACTTTTATTGAATCAAAGAAGGAGTCTGTTTTGAAAGATCCTTCGAAGTTTAAAATCATCTTGCCATCACTTCTGAAGGATGTTGAAGAGATTATTGTTGAAGGTGATTATATAAATTTCCATTTCCTTTATAGTTAACTATAGATAAAATTTTAGTGTATTTTAATAGTATAATGTATTTGTTTCCTATGATGAAAATTTTATGGACAATTCTAAGTCATGCTATTAACATATTGTGTATCTTATTTTTGTAAATTTTATTTGCATCAGAAATTGTACTTTTGAACCTATACCTTCAAACCTAAAATGCTAAAGCAACAAGAGCAGAATAAAAATCAAAGCTAAAGCATTTCATATCACTTCAGATTGAAGTGACAGGAACTGAAGCACTAACAAAATTAAAAGTACCAGGTCAAAAACAGCTGAAAAAAATTATTTTCACTTTGGCTTGAAATTACAGAAATGTTTAGCAGAACTTAACATCAGCTTTTTACAGCTGGACAGATAACAATGATTCAAATTATTTACAAATTTAAATTTAAGCTTAATAATTCAACTCTACTACCCCGTAACTACCAATGCAATTTCAGTCAAATTCACCAGTTAATAGCAAAATGGCAGATTTCTATGTTTCTATTTTCTATTTTATGTTCTAAAACTTTAATTTTATTATATAAATTTCTTCTGTCAAAAATTAATGTCAAATAAAAAGTTCTGTCTAATGGAATTTTAAATAAAACACAGGATGTTAAAATAATCCATATTTTCTTTTGTAACATTTCGACATAAATTATATCTTTATCAAACTTTGGAATTAGATTAAGAAGATGCATGTTTTTTCAAAATTCCTAAAAAATGTGCAGGTTAGATTTCTTTAAATTAGATTGATTAATATTAATAATTAAAATAATAAAATAAACTTAAAAAATATTTATTTAATAACTTTAATTTCATTTTTAGATAAAAATGAATAAGGCGGAAGTTTGGGATAGTTTCAAAAAGTCAGGATTAGACAAGGCAGTCTGCGATCATTGTAATAAAATCTTGAGCTGCAAAGGATCATCTACGATCAATCTACATAATCATTTGAAAGCAGTTAATAAAATATTTATCGAAAAGAAATCAGAAATGATTAGTGAAGAAGAAACGCCTGGATATTCCTCTTCTTCAAAAAAAAAAAAAAAAACTAGCGAATATTTTATATTTTATGAGAATGAAAAGGAGTAGTTTAGAAGAAATCATATCAAAACTTGCAACTGTGGAGGGATTTTCTAATAATAGCATTATGAATAGTTCATTCATAAGTCTTTTCAACAACAAGGATATTTATTACCAAGAAACAACTCTACAGTAATGGATCTCATTCATGTGTTTTATGACAAAGCTAAACATGAAACTATTATTGAATTAGATTCAATAAAAAAATAGGAAAAAATTCTCTATAACTTTAAACGTAGACTAGCAAAAGAAATCATAGATACTTAAACATTAATGTACATCACTTGGCAGAAGATTCAGTTTGGGATTAATGCCAATACCTGGTTCTTGTGATGCTCAGCGAACAATAGGATTGGTATCTGAAAGGCTACAAAATTTTAGCTTGAATCTAGAAACTGACATAGTTGCAGAAACAAATGATCGTGCTGCTGTTATGAAAAAATATAAACATAGAGAAATATTTTTTTAAAAAAGAAGCCATGGAAAAACCAATTCATAAGTTTCTTAAAGATCCTGAAGAAAAACTTATAAATCCGACGACACTGAAAGCTAAATTTTCATTGTTTGACGCAACGAATAAAAGAACAAAAAACTATAAAATGAAGCTCAATAGCTAGTGAATGAGTATTTCAATTTCAGGCAATATTGTGTTCAAAATAAGAACAAGACTTAGCACTCCGTTCGGTGAATATTTTATGTTTTTTAAAATCGTATTTTCGTAGGAGAAATTAAAATTAATGAAAATGATGTAAATATTAATTGAAATTTTTGTTTGTGTTTTCGTTATTTTGTGTAAGTAATATGTTGTAATCCTTAATTTTTTTTTAATATTTTGACTTTGATATTGATTTTGTTTTTTGTTGTTTTATATAAATTAAATAAAATATTTCCCCTATTCCTTTTTTTTTTTTTTTTTTTTTTTTGAGAAAAATTCAAAAACCATTTAAAACAAGTTTTTCAGAAATATTGAATTCGAAAACCAGTTTTTCAAAAAGTCAGTTTTTGTATAAAACCCTAAACAACTAAATATTAAGCTTTCTCTTCTCTCTCTCTCTCTCTTTTTTTTTTTTTTTTTTTTGTTTGTTTGTTGTAAATGTTGATTCTGTAAGGGTCATAAATGCTTCATTAAAAGCAATTTCTACTTTGTCTATAAACAACTGTTTTCTATTTTTAGTCCAAAGAGGCTTTGTCCCTGAAGGACTATTGTTTTTGTTTTAAGATTTTGCGTCGGAACCCTATAAACAGTGTTCAAATCATTGCCACCAAATACTCTCGCCCTGTATTATATTTGAAGAAATTAAATAATGAAAAATCTTCCAAAATGTATGTATGTTTCTCACATTGTGATTAAACAACAGTACCTAGAGCCATCCAGTTTTGAATGATGCAATCCTACTTCGAATATGGGCATCTGAAAGCTGAAATTTGGAATTTATTTTATTATCAATTTCATATTTTGTAAAATTTTAACGAATTTTTGATTAACAAACTCAGTGATTTAAAAGTGAGTAATGGCAACACTGGGGGGGGGGGTCATTTTTATCTCCAGCGCATATAACTGTGTATCGAAAATTCTAAAGATATATGCTTATTTTAAAATTAATTTGCGACACTGCTGTTGATTTGAATTTTATGGTTTAAGTGCAAAAAACATAATATTTAATAAATAAAGGTGACACGTAAAACGTGTAAAAAAGTCCCTTTGGACATAATTTAAAATCTGAAACCTTTAAGATTTTTTTTATTACCTTTTTATTTTTAATTTCTACTATGTCATGTTATTAGATTTAAACTATCTAAAATCCAGAATTGCCGAAGCCCTGACGATTTGGGATCTTGGCCTTTTTATTTTAGTAACAGTGCATAATTATAAGAACTTAAATATTTACTTTAGCGAAATAGGTCTTGAATTTAGTAATTACATAATTTTGTCCTTAATTATATTGTTTATTGTTTTCAACAGGTACAAAACCTGAGCAACAAATCAATGCTGCATTACCTCTTACAAGGGAAATACTTGGTTTTCTAAATGATTTGTCAGATCCACAGCTTGTCAAGCAAGCTGTAGACTCTGTAGTGTCTTGGTTAAATACCAGACCTCAGAGTTTACTACTTCTGCCTTGTCTTCAGACAGCTTGCCAATGCCTGAAATCTGATGCCGTCAAGGTTGCTATTGCTGAATGTTGCCTTGTAACTCGTTTTAGTACAGGTATTTTGTTTGATGTTAGATCTTTTAAATCTCTTTAATATAACTTTTTTCCCTTCTAAGTCATAAAAATGTATCTTTTTCAGAAATTCTAGAACCAAATGAAGCCAACAGCATATGGCAACTGGTCTCGTCTTGTTTTCAAGTGCCTTTAAATATAAGTGATAATTTTGCACGTTCTTGTGTGAATCAGTGTGCTCACTTGACTCTCTACTGTTACATATTAAATAGAACTTCAAATTTCACATCTGTTGGAAGCAAGAAATTATTACTTCAGAGCCTTATTGACTGGATAAAAAGATCAGAACTAAGGTGAATATTAATTATTTATTTATATTTAGTTATGCACAGGAAGTTGCAAATTTTTATTATTGTGTCACATTGAATTTTTAAAATATTGGGCAGTTTCTAATTATCCATAGCCCCACTGAAAAGCAGTAAAAAGTATTGGTGAAATAGTGCACCATGTTACCAAAAAGTATTTATGTGGCAACCTAGGTATATGCTTAGCTTTCCCCCAGACAGCTTTCTCTTTGATCCTTTCACCAATGTGCTTGCAAGTTATGATCCCTGCTATGAGAATTTTAGCATGATGGTGGACAGCTTGCTGCAGTTTTAATAATCTTCAATGAAATCTCGGATTTAGTTTTCTGCATACATAAATTATAATGTTGCTTGTTAAAGGCTGATCATATGCCCCTCTTTTCCTTTTGCATGGTGCTGAGTTTGTGGAGTTACAAAGTTTTTTTTTTTTTTTTTTTTTTTTTTTTTTTTTTTTTTTTTTTAGCAAAAACAGATTGCTATGTACATAGGGAGAACAACAGCATAAGAAAACAAAAAGTGTGCGTGTCTTGTATAGAAAAAGAGGAATGTAAAAATAAATGAATCATTAAAATAGAAATAAAGATATTCAAACTTATGTTTTTCACCAAAGTAGACAATGAGTGTGTGACTTTTCGATAGGATTGCAGGTAACAAAAAACTACTGAATATGTTTTAGCAGAAGAAAATAACTATATCCCTATCATATGAGGTATGTATTTAAATGGAGGAAAAATAGCCATTTTGATGATTATTTGTTCATTTTCACCTGAAAAATTCACAAAATACTACTTGAAGGAAAGGAAAAGCCTTTTTCAGTTTTTTTTTTTTTTTCCCATAAATCTCACTGCTGAGGTTTGGATTGAAATGAAAAGCATAATGTTAGTTCATAGCTTGAAGGGGGGGGGCAGATTGTTATTATCAAAAATAGGGGAGTTCTGCCATTGAAAAGGTTAAAAGCATTGGCCATCATTGGAAAAATTTGAATGCAAGTAAGTAAAATGTAGAAGTCTGGATGAAGAAGGAGAGTAACAGTGAATTTGCTGAACTGTGAATGGACAAACACAAGAATTATGTAAGGGTGAATAAACTGAATTTGGATTTTTACCATATTGTCAGCATGATCTAATTTTTGTTTAATCTGATCATTTTATTTTCCTCTTTCTTTGCCTTGACTTTTAAGTCTTTAAAAGAAAATACTACTTATTATTATACTACTTTAATAAATGTTTCATTTTAAACCATTTCTCTTTTGTAAAAATTTGCTGTGTGTTCTGGAGGGCAGGAATTGGCAATAAATAAAGTAAATATGTAAAGAGCTTGATAGTTGAAATCTGTACTTGAAAAATCCATCCAGTTTCTCCTACATTAGTCAGAAAGAAACTATATGAGCCTAACTAGTTAACTTGATTCAGATAATATCTCTATTCTCTTCAAATTAGATCATTTTTGCATCGATTTTCGATGCATGCTGCATGAGTGAAATGCTTCTTGGAAACCTTTACTGAAATATGCGTAGCACTGTCTGGGATACAGCTGAAATGTCCTTTGCAGAATCAAAGCAGTGACATTTCAGTTTAGATTTCAGCATAGAAAATAAGTCCAAATCTAGCAAGTAGCAGAAATGAGGTACCACTGCTTGTTTCTTGCCTGCCAGAAGCTTTTGCATCTTCAAGGCACTATAAGTTCATGTATTCTTTTAGTAAACTTATTCTAGTGGTAGTTTTCCTCTTTATTCTGCTATGAGATCTTTTATGATTAATATCTTCCTTCCCTCAGGCATCTCAAAACATCCATAAAAAATGTCACATCGACTTTCTGGTCTAGAGGAAAGAATTCTCAGTACACACTCACATTGTATAAAAAAATTTGCAACATTGTTTTCATTGCATTCTTAGCTTTCTTTTACCTGTGTATTCTTAGTCACTTCAGGTTTGTAACTATGAGAATTGTTGCTTAATTAAAATGGTTTCTAGACGCACTTGAATTAAATGAGATTAATTAAATAAATAAAATAATAAATAAAGATTCTAGAGAGCATAATAGTGCAAGAACCAGAATTGGTATACAAATGCAGAAGACTGTTGTTCTAAACAGAATACAGAACAAATTTCATTCATGTTAGTTTCTGTGGTTGATTTGTCTTATACAGTTTTTATTTAATTGCTTTTGCAATTGTATTATAACTGTAATTATCATTTTATTGTAATTGCAATTATAGTTGCATTAACTGTAGTTTCAATTATGAACTCTGTTCAGACAATAACAGATTGTTTAAATTTAAAAAATAAATTAAAGATCTTATTCATTGCCAAATAATAACATGCAGAGAATTCAGTATGTGTATGGGTGTGTGGATGATTAGTTATAATTCTTATGTTTTGTGCAGTGGTAACACTCACTGAGAAATGTTTCTTGACTATTTCCTCTGTTCTTCATGATTGAGTCGACAGACTTTATTTTCAAGAACACAGGATTTTATATTATAAATAAAAATAGTGTTCCTCTCTCAAGGTGTAATAAATCATGAGTACTAATAAATTTAATTATAATAGCATTTTAATTACAGTAAATACACATAAAGTATAATTATAATTGAAGTTATAATTGTACTGTACATATAATTTAGTTATAAATTAGGAAATTTAATCATGTTGTAGTTGAATTATTATAATTGGAAGATTTCTAATTACAATTACCCTGTAATTTTGTTTGTTGTGTTTGACATATATATAAAACTTGTTTTAAAATAAAAATAAATGTATAATAAAAGAAAATTGTTGTTAATTTTTTTTTTTAACTTCATAATCTTTATGTTACAAAAAGATTTAATAATATACTAGTACAGGTTGAAGCAAGGCCACCACCTATGCATTTTTGAAGGTACATAAGGTACTTTAAAAGAAAAAAAATTAACAAAAGCTTAACTTTTCTGTCAAGAATTAATTGAGTTTACATAAAACCAAGGCGAAGATCTGATGATTGTGCTGTGACATCTTGCTTATCCATTATTGGTGTTAAGTCAGCATCTGTTGACAGTGTCTCTGTTTATGATGACTTAGCATGTCTGTCATTTATATAATTTTTTTAAGAAAAATTTTTCTAAATTCTAAAATATTCTTTTTATTTGAGTTTTCAAACTGCTTTATCTACAGTATAATAAAGCTGCAAATAAATTACACCGTGAACTTGCTATCATCAGATCTGACAGGGAAGCAGAATTTTTGTCTATTTTTTTTCATTGATAAAGTTCATATTAAATATGCTTAATCATAATCAATTAGTTAAGTACTTTATGTTGTTGCATTATTCATTACTATTAAGAAATAACTATTTTTAAGTTATTAAAAGAAATGTGAAACATTTAATTCACATATAAAACAACTCATTTACAGGAGAATAGAAAATCAATTGTTTATTTTTTTTTAATTTATCCATTTGATTTTCCTTCTAAAATGTTATGTGATGTTAAATTAGTTTAGAATTAAATAAAGATCTTAATTTTACTTTCAGTGAAAAGAATGAGTCTAAATCTCTTCTATTGTGGGATAAAGTTTTGGAACTGTGTATAATGTTAGCCCATGATAATGAACTACAGGTAAATATGTATGAATTTTCATATGAGTTTTTACTGAAAATTTGTGAATTTATTAGCTTTATCTTTATCTAAAAACAATCTAAAATTTTGTAAACTTGAATTTACGTAGAATATGTGTACATTATAGAAGTTCTTATTTAATAATATAATATTTTATTTTTATTTTTTAAAAAATTCCCTTTTAATTCTCATTCTGTAGTCTCTCAAATCAATGTATTCAAAATTTCCGTATGTTTCTTTTGAAAAACTGTATGATTAAATTAATGATTGTTATTCGAGAAGATATGGTAGGATCTTGCTTGCTGTTGCTAGGAAAAGGAAGAAGAGTTGAAATTTAAGATTGTTAACTTAGCTTTGTTTTTCAACTTTTGCTTTTTGAAACCTTTCCCCATAGCAACAAATATTATAAGTGAACTAAGTAAATTATAAAAGGATCTAGAAAACACCTGCATTTTTTCCCCACAACAGGCAGACAAGGGAGTTGGCAACAAATAAATAGCAAGACTATAAATTTTTTCTCCATTATGATTTAAAATGGGAGAAATGTCTAAAACTCACTTTTGCTCATATTTTAGTAAGTATTTATAAAATACTTAAATTTTCTATCTAAAAATTTTTCTTGTTTTTAAGGTGGAAATGTGCATTATTTGTTTATCACATGAGATTTTGTAGAGTTCTACTATAACTAAAAGGTTAAATCCTGCAGATCCTGCTAAACCTGTAGCGATTGTTGTTGAAGTCTCAACAAATTACAAATAGCGAAGAAGGTTAAAATAACCTTTTTATTTCATCTTAAATTAGATGCACAGTGAATTTCTGATATTTTGTGGCATTCATAGTAGCCTAACAGAAACTTAAATTCAAATGCAGATAACATAGTTAAGGGACTGTCTATAAAATAGGCTAATTAAGCTGGCTGAGAATTTTACTACCATGTATCTTGAAACATCAGCTAGCAAGATGTTAAAGCCAGAATATAACTTTAGGCAGAGCTGCTGAGGCAAGTAACCACAAGACATTGCTGCAAGAAGCTGTCATCTAAACATTCAAAACCCTCAGCTTAAATCCACACAAAAACAAGCAGTCTATACCTGATGTTCTATACTTAATTTTCATTTAACTTTAGAAGTGTTGGCTAGAAAGCCTAACTTTTAACTAACTTCCTTTACGCTGTACTAGCTCTGACTTTAAATCAGTTCATTACCACATGTTAACTTTTCATTTGCAATGCGTACCATCAGGAATGCATTTAACTTGTTGTAAGTTTATGATGTATTTGTTCTTAATGTAATTCATATATTTAAGACATTAAATTTCTTTCAGCATACTACAGGGAGAAAGTTTAAACTTTACATAGACATGTAAAATAGTTTCTATTACAGATCAGTCGTTGGGACTTTGGTGGTTCTAGATTTTAAATTATAAATTTAAATGTAGATGATGACAATATAAACTATAAAATTAAAACTTTTGAGGTATTTACTTATAAAATAATGAAGTAAATATGACTTTCAAGGGAATCAAAAATTTACATTGCCCCGAAAATACTCAATATTTATTTCTTTGTTTGATTAAACATTTCTTTCAATGAAAGTTATTTACATTATTGTTTTTCTTTGTGCTAATGCTTTCTGTTTAATTTTATAAACAATTTCTTGTTCAATTAGAAAGGTCAAAGTCCTGTTATTATTATGTCTAGGATTCCCACTCAACTGTCAATTGATATTTTTTCATTCTCTGCAACCATGCAGTCAATTCCGTCACTATTTGTAGCTAATTTTCTGAATTTGGAACCAATACTATAGATTTTGTGTTCCATTCATTTATTGATTATTGATTATTATAAAATGTGTCGTCTGTGGCGAACCGCCCCCTTTTCCCCCTCTAGCCACACCATTGTTATTTGGGCCTTGGCATCACAATAGAATAACATATTACCACTTCTTCACAAATACCATTAATTGGAAAATTTCGCTTTTGGTTTGTGATAGCCATTAAATTTGTGGCTATCATCATAAATCTTAGTATTTGCAAAATCATCATAAATCTTAGTGTGCTTAGTTGTATCCATTATTGGATGTATATCATGAGATTGGCATCTAAAGATGTTCCACTAAAATTTGTCTTACTTATATCATGCACTGAGGCAATTAAGCCTGAATTATATTTTGTTATTTGTTATAATCATATCTATTTCCTACATATGCTTAAAACTATCACATCTACTATACATGTTCTTTACTTTCTAAACAGATGTATGTTTGTTTTCAAATTTCATGCTGTATTGCTCAAACTTGTTTGTTTTTAATGCAGATAATTGAAAGGTGGTTAATTAAGTTAATCACTTTGATCTCGATTCTGGCAATTCTGAAAACTGAAGAGAAGAAATGTTCAAACGGGTTTAATTATGGCAAAGAACATGAGGGCTGTCTGCCTAAGGGCCTTTGAATAATTTATACAAAGAATGATAGTTATAAAAGTTGTTCATGAATTGCATACATATTATGTAAATCAAAATTAAGAGAGAATTATATAATTAAATTTAATACTGTCACTCTTTAGTATCAATGTTCCATACAGTCAAAAGTCGTTAATTCGGACACCCATAATCCGGAATGATCTATAATCCGGACCTCAAAGCTACAAACTTTCTGCGCATGCATCGCGTTCACGCATGCGCACAGGCGTTTACGAGAGCGCATAAGACCCTTACGGCTGTGAATATGTTTGTGCGCATGCGCGTTTAAATCGTAACGGATTAAAGCTAAAGTTATGTAATTCAGTTAATGTTGCCGATTGCGTTGTTCCTTAGTCTTCGAATTGGATCCGGCTTATTATTTTTTGCAGACTGTTAGAGCAATTTTATAAAAGTAAGCTTGAACTTTCGATTATGTCAAATAGAATTTCCGATATATATTTACTACAAAGCAAAAGTATGTTTTGAAATCCGAAATCTGTTTATCAATTTCACCCTGCTCTGCGGCAGAGGGGGGGCAGAAACATCATTATTAGATTATGATAGATTAGAAAGATTATGTCAAATAGAATTTCCAATATATATTTACTACAAAGCAAAAGTATGTTTTGAAATCCGAAATCTGTTTATCAATTTCACGCTGCTCTGCGGCAGAGGGGGGGGGCAGAAACGTCATTATTAGATTATGATAGATTAGAAAGATTATGTCAAATAGAATTTCCGATATATATTTACTAATATGTAATTTGTATCTACAAAGCGAAAGTATGTTTTGAGATCCGAAATCTGTCAGCACTATCCTTATCTTCAGGGCAGATGTTTTTATTTTATTTCGTTTATAATTCCATACTAAGTGTAGTATTTCATTCTGTCTTTGATATGATTTAAATCAAGTTCCTCCTCATTATAATTCGCTTCAGATAGTGAAGAAAGTGACCCAGAGGTTATTGAAAACGAAAACATTTCGATTGACAAATTAGTCGGTATTCTCAACACAGCAATTATAGGACTTGAACAGGGGAACTTTGTAACTAAACAAGAAATTATGTCTGTTTAATAGAATTAAAGAGAAAGTATTATCACATGAGTCGAAGGAAATGTTTAATAAAGTAAACAAATAAATATTAAGCTTTTTTCTTTTTGTAAATTTTGATACCCTTTAGATCATAATTGTTCTTTATTTCATAAATTACGGTTTCATATTTTTAATTTTGTAATTTCTGCATGCCATGTTACCAGATTTAAACTGATGATCTATAATCCGGAAAAATCGATAATCCGGAATCGCCGAAGTCCCGACGAGTCCGGATTAACGACTTTTGACTGTACTAATTTATGCATTATTTACTTTAAGAATAGAATAATGTTCATTTGACAGATAAATACAACTCATGTTATAGCAATCAATTGTATCAGTAATGACTAAATTCTGCATATATGGAGACCAATTTAAAATGTATACTGGATCTATGTAAGTCTGCTTATTGGACATTACATATGTGTATATCTGGTACTTTCTGATATCTGAAAAACAGCCGCCCAATTGGCGAATTTTTGAATTGGTTAAAACATTTCCTTGGTATGCTACAGCTCATAAATATTGTTTTGTACATAAATCATAATTAAAAATGCTTTTAAAAAGTACAAAAATCAAAAATCTATATGGCTGATATTTACATCCTCAGTCATTCAGAAATTATGTTTATATCATGTAAATCATACATATGATGTAATTACGTAGTATGTCAAAAACAAAAAGCATACATGCTTTAGGCAAATGGCAGTGCATATAGGCACTGTGAAAATACAAGCAGACATAGCATTGCAAATTACAGACTATTTCTAATTCACTGATAGCAACACATTATTGTATTTTTTCTAATGCCACAAATATCAAAAATGAACATCTGTTAAATTAGGCTTGTGGGATAATGATGGTATGGCATTATGTTGTAGACTCTTATATATGTCACTTATTTTAATTAAATGCAATAGTATTGCTCTGTGATGGTATAGGAAACCTTTGTATGTGACGTATTAGGTCCCTTAATGTACCTGATAGGTTTTATAAATGTTACATACTATCAGAATGTGATAATTGATCGCATATCCCTTTGTCCATTCTAAAAGGAATGGTTTATTTTGTACAGTATGTGTATAACCACTCCTACAGGACATTAATATCCAGGCATGGCTTGAGGAATGAAGACCTGAGTTCATAATCATTGAATGGCATCCAAGTTCTAAGATTATTGAATCAGTTTGGAATGCTGTTGAGCAGAACATCAGATCCATGAATTCAGGGTCAGCCTTTAACACGGAACTGCAAAAAATGTGCACCAGATATAGTTTGCAGTTGTTTTGAGCATCTTCCAGCATGTGATAAAAGGGATATCTTAATGTATATAGTCTGTCTATTAGAATTTTAATTTGAATCTTAGATAAGGCATGAATGTTTGCAGTGACACAGAGACACACAAAATTCATGGATTCCATTTTTCTTGATGCTGTTGTTTAAACTGGAATGGAACTTGGGCATTTATGTATTTTACTAAAACAAAGTGTTCTACTGTATGATGTGATCACAGAATGTAAAATGTCAAGTACAATCAAATTCTAAAATACAAGGGTTGGAACTTTAATAGTGGCAACACAGCTGAAAAAACGCTACACAACAAAACCAAAGAATATCGCGTAGACCACACGTAAACTACATACCTACCTTACCTCTCAGCAAAAAGACTCGTCCTGCCTACGTCACGTGCATGCTAAGTGACGCGAAGAACGGATCCTTGTATTATCTCGTGGTCTAAAGTAAGTGTTGTCAGGATGTTTTCAAAACAAGAACAACGATTTTGGATAAAAATTTAATGTGCCAGAGGTCGTACAGCACGACAGTGTCATCAAGGGCTTCAAGAGGCTTGCGGGGAATCTGCATTGCCTTACAGAATCGTAGCAAGATGGGTGAAAACATTCAATGAAGGACGCCAAAACGTGGCAGACATGCTGCGACCAGGTCGTCCGAGTGTCAGCGATGCAGGTGTGCAAGCTGTTGCCGCAATAATGGACAATGATCGTCACCAAACAATTCGTCAGCTGGCCGGACAAACGGGATTAGCGCATACGACTGTGCTGCACATTCTGAAGGAACGCCTGCCTGTACATGAGAAAAATTGCTTCACGATGGGTTCCACATCAATTGACGGAAATGCAGAAATGGCTACGATACGATGCTGCCCGAACCCACCTGGAGCGCTATGAGCGCGAAGGAGATGCTTTTTTACTCCGTATCATTACGCTGGATGAGACTTGGGCCCGATCGTACCAGCCAGAACTGAAATGCCAATCAAACAAATGGCGTCACCACGACGTTCGAAATCCTGTCAGAACCCCAGCAATGTGAAAGTTATGGTGATTCTCGTGTACGACTGTGATGGTGTCATCCTAACGCAGACCGTCACTGCGCAGTATTACTGCTCATTTTTGGAGCACAATCTCTGACCAGCTTTGAGAAAAAAAACGGCGACACTTTCTGCAGAACGCTCCTCTCATTTTGCATGACAATGCTCGGCCGCATGCAGCGCAAGCTGTGACTGATTTGTTCAAGCGATGGGGCTGGGAAGTGCTTTACCATCCACCATACTCCCCAGATCTAAGCCCTTGTGACTATGACTTAATTCCTAAGATGAAGGACCACTTCATGGCACTCGCTTCCAAACTGTTCCTGAGATTCTTGCGGCAGTAGACCGGTCCATTCAAACTATCAACAAAACAGGCGCTGCTACAGGTATTCTGCGACTTCCACATCATTGGAAACGGGTTGTACACAATGTTGGCGACTATATTCAAGGACTGTAGAACATGGTGACATGAATCACTTTTGTATACCTTGTAAATAAATAGTTGCCACTATTAAAGTTCCAACCTTCGTATTTTATATTTAAATATTGTCTTCATAAAATTTTGTAAGATTTATGCTAAACATGAGCAAATTTTTTATTTTCCCCTTGCTGTATTTAATACTATTTATTTTATTTAAAAAGGTAGTTCAAAAAGCACTGTCTTACTTTTGTTCACATTTGTCGCTTCTTGGAGAAGACAAAATAGGAAATGGTCTATTGGCAGCATTTGGTCTTGGACAACCATCACCTTTATCTGTAAAGTAAGATTTGCCTTCAAATTATTTCTGTTCATAAATTAATAATTGAAACCTATTTAATTGTAATTTATTATTTTAACTTTATTCATTTATTTACTTCCAGCTTTAGGTTTCTTTGCCGTGTTATGTCAGCATTTATATTACTACAAGTTCCTGAAAATGCTTCAATACGTTTAGAAGCAATGGCTTCAGGTTATTTGCCTGTAACTGACAACAGCAGCGATTCATATCAACCTTTGAAAAATTCTGAACCATCACCGTCCTCCGGTGCTCACAAAGCATTAATAAATTTGAAAGGTTTATTAAAAAATAAATCATATTCTGCTCTAAGAGCACAAATTAATGATGCCATACAATATGCCATTAATCCAAGACACTGCTTGCTGGACAGTAGAGAATTTTTGAAAAAAATTGCTCTGTGTATTTATCCAAAGGATACTTTCCTGTATTCTTTGAGTTATACTGTAGAAATATAATTACTGTGATTACATTTCACACTTAATTTTTTATTTATATCTGAAAACCTTTTTTGTGGAACATCAGTAGAATTGCAGAAGGTATGTTTCTGTGAAACATTCCAAAATAACATATTCATTTTGTGATATTTTAAAACCTGTATATTTGAAATAAAATATTTCGCAGCAATGAAGTCATTTATGTATCTTAATTATCTCGAATACAAAAATATAAAATTTGCACAAGAAGCATATATTTCCATTGCCTTCTTAGAGAATGCAACCTGCTAGTAAATTTGCTGGCAAAACTGTGAAAGAGAAATATAGTGTCAAGATGTACAGTAGGAAAAAGAGTAGTCTTATTCATAATGGCAAAGTCTGTTTCAGAAATGAAAGTTGTTATTCTTCCATGAATAAATTTTGTAAAGTTTTATTTAATAGTTATGAATGCAAAACAATTTCTTCTTGTTTAAAGGTGGAAAATAGTTTTGAACTTTAGTGTGTTCGGTAGCAAGGAGAGTAATGGATAAATTAGAAATATTGATTTTAGTTGATTTCTTTCTTTACATTAGGTCCGTGGCTCTCAACCTTTCTTGCCCCATGCACTCCTTTTACCATTGCTAAAAGATCATACTCCCTTTCCTTTCCAAAACTTGAAAAATACACACATTGGCTGCCAAAAGTGTTCGGGCACTTTAAGAATTTGTAGGGCGCTGTAGCCCAGAATTAAATTTGAATATAAAGCCCTATATTTTTTCATATCATCTCCATGCAATTTTGAATAAAACAGATTTTTTTTTTAAAATACTGACCTATTTTCTTTTTCTAAAATTGAAAATGTAAGAACTCATAGATAAAACACACCATAGAAGTGATCACACACCAAAACATTTTCTAAAATTATAGTCTCTCTCTCTCTCTCTCTTTTTTTTTTTTTTTTTTTTTTTTTAAATAACGTTTGAAAATTCATTTGGCTTTATTCTTTGCTTGCTTACTTTGTTACATTTTAATTAATATTTAAAAATTTTATGCAGTCATAAGGAAATAACAAATATCACTCGACAATTGGTCATTTTTCATCACAAGGGTGAAAAAGAGCGACAGGATATCGCTAAAGTAGTAAATTTATCCCATTCTGTGGTATGTGATTAAACACTTTAAAAAAAATCAGATTGAAAATGAAGTTAGAAGATGTCGTCCGTCAAAGTTAGTTCAACATGATTAGAGATTTATAGTTAGAAAATTTGTGAAAAGTCTGCATTTGAGTGCTGTAAAGATTTCTATAGAATTTTCTGAAAATTTTTCTATTTTAATTTCACTTGAAACTGTTCAACAAGTACTCAGATCAGCTAGATTACATGGGCACTCTCCTCAAAGAAAATTTTTTGAAGTGCAAAAAATGGAAAGCATATTCTATTTTTTGCAAGTGAAAAAAATGGAAAGCTTATTCTTTCCTTCACAAAATCAATGGTAAACTACCCCAAAGTGTATTGGAACCATGTCTTATTTGCAGATGAAAGTAAATTTAACATTTTTGTTTCCGATAGGCATATAATTCTATGGAGAAGAGAAAATGGGGAATTTAATTGCAATATCTTGGTTGATACGGTAAAGCATGGTGGTGGAGATGCTTTTGTGCGAAGGTACATGTCAGCATCATCAAGATTAGGTAATTTAGTATTTACTATGTAATTTAGTATCGTAGGTGTTTCTTCTATTGATTTCCGAAGCACGTCTATATCCTCCCTAGCAGTTCACCGCAGCAGCAATTCCTTGACCCAGGTAGGGCAAACTTCTTCAACCATTATGCCAAAGGCTTTTGCGCTTGACCCTAACCTGCTCAGGGGTTCGGTCTGTGTCGTTGGGCTTAATTAGCAACATGTATTTGGATTGCTTTTTTCCAAGCGGTTTTGTATGGCATTTTTTCTTTCGAACTTCAGTGAAAGGAAGCTCGTTTGTATCTGTCTGATATTGTCTATCTCCTGTACATAGCCAACTAGTCTGTACATAGTCAACACATTGTGATTATAACCTTCCATTGCATAGTAGTACAACTGAAATAGTAGTACTACCTAGCTGCATCCATTGTTTAATTAATGCAATTAAAGTTTTTTAACCCCGCTCATGAACAGCCATGAAAAACACCTTTCCTGAATTGTACTCTACACCCCCAAAAACCCATTGACCTTCACCATATTGCCCTCAGTTGTACTTCCTTTTACAAAATTTTGATTCATTTGCTTTCAAAACTTTGCTTACCCTATAAGGTATTTCTCCCACTTCCCTAGCGTGCCTTCGTGGTGTAATGGCACCCTGCTGGGAGGGTATTCCAAAGGTCCGTGGTTCGATTCCTGGCGAAGGCGGTTGCTAATTTTTCATCTCGCTGGCTTCCAAAAAGTCCTAATGTCTCTACAGTGGCGCCCGAACTAAAAGGGTTGTGGATGATGATTTTCCGCACCCAGGATTTGGCGACTAGGTCCCCTAAAACCCTAGTCGCCCTTTAAAAAGGGGAGTATATAAGGTATTTCTCCCACTTCCCTAGCATGCCTTTGTGGTGTAACGGCAGCGCGCTGAGACGGTATTCCAGAGGTCCGTGGTTCGATTCCCGGTGAAGACGGTTGCTAATTTTTCATCTCGCTGACTTCCAAAAAATTCTAATGTCTCTACAACCCCACTAATTTTATTTGGAGTCAATTCAACATGATCTAATATTTATTCGTTAACAAATTAACACCAGTCTGCTAATGTCGAAGAAGGAAAGTCAAATCCTCTTCAATATCACAAGATGCCGTACCCTTAATTAATTCCTATGTTAAAGAAAACAATTTCCTGTAAATTAAGCTTATTACAGGCGAACCAAGATCCCAGCCTAATCGATTTCTCAGCCCTACACTTCTTGCGTCTTCAAATACAACCATTCAATGAATTTTTCTGACTAACTAACCCACATGGTATATTTTTTTTTCACAATAAACTATTTCCTTCAACATTCTACAATCCATCAAAAATCCTCTAAAACGTTCCTACTCTCTTCTTAATTTATACATAAAATATCTGTCAGGAATGTTTATCTTTCCTAAACTTTTACGCTTGTTTGAAAACTCCCACGTTAAATTTTCCTTATACTAATAAAGTCTCCTTATACTTAATTACAACATCACTAATAGCAGATTTAGAGCAAGCCTTAAATCAATGCAAAAATTCCATCTCCAAAGTAGCCAAAAATCTTATCTATAAAGCAGTAACTGCTCCACGATATCTGAGTGTTAAATAATCTTTGATAATAGTGTTACGAATTTTGTATTTAGATATTTAATTTTAGTAGAATTATAATTAAAATTTTTGTATTTCCCTTTGCAATGCAGCGTGAGAAAATTTTAAGAGAAAACTATGCCAGAAAAGTAAGAATACAGGGTCATGTGCATTTAACTTTGAGTAAATTGGTATCTCGATAATTTGTATTGAAATTTAATAAATGTAATTGACCACTAATGTTAGCTGTAACCGTAATTCCATCCTCTTATTGCTTTCTGGAACACTGGAAATTTACGGTTGTTTACATTGCATTTGCCGAGTGGTATGAGTTACGACATGCTCGCACACCGGTATGGGTTGCCACTTCCTATCATTTATTGCCATGTTTGGTGATATTTTTTGGTTAAAATTCAGTGTGGGCTATATTAAAAGATAGCCGAAAGAACGAAGGAAAATCAATGCAATGCTAAAATAATAATTTCGATAAATAATGTACAACAAATTAAATACTAAATCAGTAAATAAACGCAATGAAGTTACAAATTTATATGCACATATAACTATGGCCTACATACTATTTATGTTAAATACACTATATGGACTATGTACTATGGCCATAATAAGAGACTAGTCTTTCATTATGAACTATTTCAAGCTTAGAATATGATGACATCCATATTCGAACTACGATGTCATTTAGCCTGTTTAGGTCCATGTAATGACTGCTCCAGCATAACCGTACTTCAAGAGAAAGTCCTTTCTGTCGAACTGCATTCCATAACAAGATCTTGTTATTAAATCATGTTCATTAGTTGAATCGATATCCTGTGGCTCTTGTGTCATATTGGGTCCATTTTCTCTGTCGCCAAGCTCACTCGCTCCCGTGCAAAATTGTGCAGCACTTTAAACCATGCCTGAAAACCTTGAATGTACTTAGGCAATGAAGGTGCATCTGGAGGGCAACCAAATAACAGATCACAAAGTAGATGAAGGTTCACAAACAAAGACCATTTGAGATAAAGAATAGGTGGTTGTCTCGTGGACAGCATTGCAATAGACCAGTAAGAACAGGGGTAACTTCTCTTCCCAGACCTGTTTGTTTCTGGGAACCATTAGAGAAATGTTATTAAAGATCTTTTGATTAAATCTCTCTAGCCTGATGCCTGACTGTGGTTGTAAAAATGACGTTTCTGTTTTGTTTATGCTGAGTAAGTTAACAGAATTTTTTAATTGCAGCTGACGTAATATTCCTTTTTCGATCGGAATGTAACTGAAGAAGCACTCCAAACCTAGAAATCCAATGTTGTATCATTACATTTGCTACCGTGATAGCCTCTTGATCAGGAATAGGATATGCTTCAAGCCATTTTGTAAATTAATCAATGCAACGAGGATGGATTTTTTGCCATCAGCAGTTCATGTTGGAGATCCCAGGAAATGAAAGGCAATGCATTCCTATATTGTAACGTTGTAGCTTTCCTCGGCTGTGGGCCTTTGGCCGGTTCCGATCTGCACAGGCATTGTGTTAAAGACTGTACAATAATTAATATTGTTGGGTGCGTACGGGTTCGTTATGAGTTGAATGCACAAGTCCAATGAAAAATGAATAAGATTTATTATTATCACAAATAAGTAAAACAAAAATGCTTAAATTTCCTCAGATATTTGTATGATATCTCACAGTAGTTATCTTTTAACTACTCAAACGTTCAACAGAACTTAATTCAAAACAGCTAGAGAAAGCGAATTTGCTACTGTCAACAAAAGTGAGTGAGTGACAGAGGACATGGACACCACCCATCTACCTTATTGGTTAATTGGTATAGCACCACGTCCACCCTTATCTAAAGCAACCTTGGTACATTTAGGTACACATTGCTGAATGCTTAGTACACATTACTGAGGATTTCAAAGTAAAAACTTGCTTCGTTACTATACA